CTTTGTGCATTGCATTCAAGGACCTCATGAGTGCACTTTTCATCGACTGTCAGGACACCTGCTCTCTTCAATCATTCCTTTAAGTTTCGGACCTGTTTTCATGGTCGTGCAGGCGAAAGGACGATAAATTGGTAAGTTACCATTCGCCTACAAAATGTTTCACATCATATATATTAGTTGGCGGGAAAGTTCTGTCACATTTTTTCAAATTAGACTTTCTTTTTACAGAGAGGCGTACAAGATCAAAATTATACAGCAATGTTATTGAGAGATCCTTGCCAGTTTTTGGACAAGTTCGCTGGATTCCAGTCACTTAAGCAATGCACTGCACGCCCAAAGGTTGACATCATCTCAACTTTGACTTGGGCTCAAGTCGTGGAGGTTTTCTCGGCTGTATAAACGGTGAGTATAGGGAGGCGACTAGCAGTCAGAAAGAGCAATGCCTGGACTACACCGGTGCAAGGGGAGAGCCATCCAGCTCTATTGCATGAAGTACGGCTCGAACGTTTTTGGACGGGGGTTGTTGCTCCACTTAGCACGTTGAAGACGGACTGGTCGAATGCGAGTGCCCTCTGGCTACGATCGCTGTCAGATCTCGTAGCACTGCCTTCATACGGTGACCAAGCGAGGCAGCTTCTTCATCCAGTAGTTTCCCGGCCCACAGCTATCTCAAGCTGAGATCACAGGTACTCCCAAACCTCACTTCGTCATTCAAACCGTAGGCTCGCGGAGCCGCTACCTCGTGCAAGACGCTCTGTAATGTGCGAGACATTGTCCTTATCAGCCTCCATTCATTGATAACTGCCTCACATTACCGGTTTACCCTCTTCAGTAATAGGCCAAATACTTAATCTGTCTCCGGGCATATTAGGCGGTCGGTCACGGGCCGCAGCGCGTGCCAGGAACTATTTGCTTTTCCAGGCTAATTTAGTCATTTTTCCACCTTGTGAAGATAAGGAGCTGCTAATCTGGGAAAAAGTAGCCAAAACAGTGAAAAGTTGGAAAAAATGACTAAATTAGCCTGGAAAAAGCAAATAGTTCCTGGCACGCGCTGCGGGCCTTACGAACCCCCTAATCAACTGCCCTGACGACGAGGGTAGGTTCAAAAAAGTACGACAGAACTTCCCCGCCAACCTAATATTACACGTCCAATAGCCGAATTTTCGCTGAAATTTCACCCTGAAGGTGACGCTGAGATGGTTCCCGATTGCACTTTCCTCCTCCGTTTGTAGCGCCGGCGCGAATTGGTGCCTGTACGGCACTCAATAGGCCCATCTGCATCATATAACGAAACTGGTGAGAATAAACCGCTGTTGTTCTCTGAATGATGTATTCGGTATGTTTTGGGAAACTCACAGGAACACAAGGATTTGGATTTTGTGGCAATGCGGGGCATTGTCACCTAGGGGATTCGAACCTATCAATCCTATATTCTTTTTTCTGGTATTCCGAAAAGCGCGCAAGAGAAATAAATTGCACTTCTGAGGTCCATCTGTAATCCCCTAAGCATGCAACAACCCGTTTCAAAAAAGACCTTCTACAACTAAAAGAGTCCACTTGTTAGTGCCATGCTTGGTGCGGGCGCCTTTCACAGTGAAAGCGCTGGATAATCAAGTCACAATCCCTAGGCGTACTTGCCATGCAGTTTCGAATCAGCCTTGCTTAGTAGGAGCTCTACTTTTGAAGCACAGCAGGCATGGTGAACATAGGTGAGCTGGGATACTGTACGATGATTCTGGATAGCGAGGCCAATTTTTGGCTACGGAGACACCCAGTGACGCTTGAGCGGTTCCAGGTCATAGAATAATGCAGTGTGAGTTGAAGTGGAAAGTGTCATGACGAAGATAAAGGAACTAGTGTAGGTCGGGTTACGGTGCAACACGAACATTCTTCCGTTTCTTTTTCTCCACAGTAGTGACGCCCTTGGCCGACAACTAAAGGGTTGGATAAGAAGATAAGAGATATGAAGCTAAGTGGCTAGGACAAAAAGCTACCGTAGAGGCCAAGACAAGAAACTACCGTTGGGCGGTGAGGAACGCAACTGAGGTCTAGGCGACTCAGGGTTATGCGGTCCGATCTGTAGAGGGGTTGCAAAATGTGGATTAAGACCAGTGCGACCGCGAAGGATTTTGTGTAATATGAATGAGTCAAATTTTTGCACTGCTTTTGAAATAGAGGAGCCCATTGTTACGGTTTTTTTCTGCACGAGCGAGGTGGGCCAGGAAGGGTGGTTTTATAGCGAGATCCTGCCGCTCTAGTGGAACTTTCCAGTAAAACCATTTTGGATTTTTCAGCCGAGTCAGCACACTTGCGCTTGCATACGCTTGCACTGTTCCATACTTGAGCAGGAGTCCAACTGTGGTTGACGGGGCTTCAAAAAGTCTATACGTGGCGCTCGGGCCATAATTGGCTCGGTCTCCTTCTGTGATGTTGGGGCGGGTCAGGGAGGGTGAGTTTGGTACGCCGCCAACCCGTTCTCCACCAACTGTCAAAGCGAATAAGCGACAATGGTTGGTGGAAAACGATCGATGATCACATGATACGTCCCTCTCGCTGCCAAAAAGAAAAGAACGGCAGTATTTACCCTTTACTGCCCCAATCTTCCGAAAACAGGCCTGCTTTTGACCGACTTTTTTCTGCCTTGGCAGAATTGGCTGAAAATTTGTACCCTGGGGTAGTTTGACCTCCTGAACATGAATATCACATCCGCTAGGCACGAAACCTCCTGGCGCCCGCGCCACAGGCGCCGGCGCCAAAATACCTTAAATTACCAAATTCGCTGAAAACTTGTTCTCAGGGGTAGTCTGACCTCCTGAAACGAATATCACATCTA